TGGACCCCCGCGAAATCGTCGATGGAGCCCAGCGCTTCCATGGAGTCCCGGTTGGGAACCACCGATCTAGAGCATATGCTCGATAAAGTATCGGATTCCCGCGAATTTTCGTGACTTCAGTCACGGGAATTCCGCTGAAATCGCGACTGGAGCGCGGTTCTTGCCCTGCGGCGAATATACAGCCCCCGATGACCCTCGGAATACCCGCGGAGAAGGAGCCTTCCTTTGAACGTGTTTTCTGCCTTCCTCGTCTGCGACAGCCCTCATCTCCTCTGCCGCTTAAACCTCTATCAAGTTTGGGAGGAAATTGTTCTTGATCCTTAGAGAGAACTCGGAGTATTCCCATCTCCTCCATAAGAACGTGCTGTGGAACCAATTTCGAAGGAACGAGATGGGACATCGAGAGCATTCCGGCATTCTCGAAAGCGAAGCGCGTGATGCGTCGAGCTCGAAGAGATTGAGATGTCGTTGAGTGGTTCGAGAGCATTGTCTGTTTGACGAATGCCGCTACGAGTCGACTGGTTGTTGAGATTATTTTCGGATTGAGCACGAATTCCCAGGACATCTGAATCAGAAGACACCGATGGGGCCTGTGTTTGCTCTCAAGTCGAACAATGGTCCTTGACTCAGAGTCCTTGATACGGTCGTCTATTCCGCCCTTGGCAATTATTCATCAACAAATCCGGAGACTCCTCTATTGTCAGTCCAACGGTTTCCGCCGATCGGGGACGGAAGACACCCCATGAAGCAGTGAGAGGAATGTGCTTTTCCAAGACCTGAAGACAATGATCCGATTTGGGCAGCAACGAATAGGAGCTCACTACTGGCTGGACTCGAAAGCTGACGTACAGTCGGATGGGACTGTGTCGCTTCGCCGAGTTAGCCCAACATCTGGTTCTCTCCGTGCATTCCCCATCTCAATCGATCGATTTTATTCAAGTCGATACCGATACCCAGTCGATTGGAAATTACTTGGCGGTCCGGAGCTTCGACAAGACGCAGAACGGAAAGGGAGGAATCTCTCGACTGCCCGCATCCCACGTGGCACTCTTCGGGGAAATCATGAGTCCGCTCGGAGATCAACTCAGATCATAGAACCCGATACGAAAGTGCGGCTAGACTGAGCGGATTCGCTGTTTATAATACGTCAATGGTGACGTCAGGGATGCCTTTGTTCCCATAGGATGCTTTTACGAGTCGTCCGCTCGACTGGTTTCATGTTGCCGATACCCGCATCGTTTATAGTTGACGAAACCGCGAGCGAAAATATATGGATTCTGTCCGTCAGGGAAGTTCGGCGTGCTGCCGCAGAACCTTTACAGCGGTCGAACATCGAAACGCTAGACCGGAGAGAAGTCTCGAGCTTCGCGCTCCCGGCGCAGCGCTGCTCTTCCATCACGCGGGACCGACTGTCTTACTTGTTCGACCGCCTTCGAGTCGTCCCGTCATTTGTGATAGAGAGCATCGGGCGCTGTTTTTCTTCGCTGATTGACACGACAACCGACATATTGATTAGCCATTACCGAAGCTTCGCGTGTTCTCGGGTGCCGTCCGACTCGCCATTCGGCGGAGATCGAACGTCTTCCCGAAAAAGCCTCGGCCCCGGAAACCCTTGCGCAACAAGCTGCTGGTACGGGACCGTTGAATGCGAGCGAGCCTGTTGACATTTTGGAGGAACACGAGCATTTAGACCCATTATGAATATTCATTGAAGTTTCGTCCGCGTCTCGGGCGAAAAAGACGATGCGGAATGAAAAACGGTACAGCGACAGGCCCTACGAGCCGGGAGCCGAGACGGCCGCATCTCGGCGGGGGTTCAAAGTGAAGAGGTTGGGGGTTGGGAGTTGGCGATCGAGCAGAGACGGCATGAGTCGAGGAACAGAAAGGAAGGCGGGACGATTTGATCCTAAGAGCGCCAGTCGCGTGAGACACTCAAGGTCGAGTGGTCGTCTGAGATACAGCAGAGTCGGCTCAGTCAGTCAGATGCTCGCAGCATCACTCAATAGTCTTTCGTTACTTCTGACGGAAAACAGACCGAAACTGCAAGTTGTGAAGGGTCTAGGAGTTTTCGTCGGAGCGTTTGTCGACAATTTCCTACGTTTGCGGAGCGGAATTTTTCTTCCTTCCGCCCTCGGCCAGGTCCGGCCCGCGTGAGGCATGAAGCTACCTCAGGCGAGGTTCTACCGTCGGATGTCTTTTTCGAGCGGCGCGAATTGAGTTGGAGCTTCGCCGATGATTCCAGTCGTTGGTGTACGAGGAACTCCATCGAAAAGCAGCCGATCGAGCCCTTTATTCCCGCTGTAGGAGTCGAGCTCAACCCGTGGTCTCGGGGTCAAGAAGGCAATCCTAGCTGAGGCTCCACAGTAGTCGCGGTAGTCGGCTCGGCATCCGCGCTCTGACATTGTCGCCGACCACTGGAAATGTTCCAACTTTGTGAACAGACCTCTAGATTCGCTATTCATGGCTTTCTCGCGTCTTTTCGTTCCGTAGCAGCGACGGAGCCGGCACTACAGTGTTGCATAGGGTCCTAAAGCCACATATCTGCCTCTTCCGCATGAAACCTGATCCCAACCAGAACGTCGATGTTACGACTGCTCATGAATGGATCGTCTATCCAAATGCTACCAATCTCTCCTCGAAAAACCCTCTAAAGGCTTTAATAATCTCAAGCATTCGAGCCCAGAGCATGCCGGTCAACGTGCAGCATGCTCATGAACGTACGAGAGCGGGAGCGTAGAGACTGCAGCGATGTGATGCTTGTGACTCCGCCCCAAGATGATGCCGTCGTCGTTAATTTTGCCCAAACCAGCGAGAACTCGGCTCCCGCATTCGGTAAATGGAATGCCTCGGTCTGTTCGTCTGAACGGGCCTGGAACTCCAAGCCCATCGTGTCGTGAGTCCACCTCGCTCGGTCTCGAGCGAATTTTTCTGCGAATTCCAGCCCTGAGTGCGCTCATCCTACGGCCTGCTCCTGCGTCGAGTGGAAATTCGTGACTTTCCGACCCCGACGGATCTCGTAAAGTTCTATCTTTGACCGACCTATCTTTGTCCCAAGAATAATGGCTCCTCGTCTCCTTATAAGCTCTTCAAAATACGGCCGTTTCGAGAGCAGGAGCGACGATCGGTCGGAATGAACGCATCGACGTCTTTCTGAGGAGAATTCAAAGCAGAGAATCGTGCCCGGCTCTCGGAACAGGTGGGCGGCTGCCAGATTCAAACCGCGAAGCCTCCGACTCAGGCTCCATGAGAGAAAAATGTGAATCCGTGCGCTTTGAGATCCGAAGTTTGGAAATTGCTATTTCAGCCAACGAATCCGTGTTTGCCTTTCCATCATCACAGCCCGTCCTCGGGCCGAGTCTCGAACAAATATCTGAGTTGAGGAGAAACTCGGAAAGGAAATGAAATCGATTGGGCTCGCCGATCGCAGGAGCATCGATCAAAAGCGGCAGTGGACATTTCGCTCCTCCTCGCTCGCCGCCCGAATGATAACAATGCCCGATAGCACATCCCGACTGCTCTCCTGAGCCCGACACTACCGCTTTCGACTTCTACGGGATGATGGTTCGGAGTGTTGGGAGGAGATCTCAACCGGGAGCGCATCGAGAATTTCTTTGATCTCCATATATGAAGCCCTGTCTTTGCGGCGCCGACCTCCCAGATGCTCAGACGTGAGTTTTCGACCGCGAGCTCGAGTATTCCGAGATCGAGGAGCGATCGAGAGAAACAGAATAAGTGACAACCTCCCAATACGGTGGAGCGCTTGATCGAAGATTCAGCGACTGCGATCAGAGCTAGATATCCGATACGAACTAAAAACCGAGAGCGATTTCGGAGCTCGCGGCTCCGGCGACGATTCCTTCTCAAAGGAAGCATGGAAGATGCTCGGGTGCGTCGTCAGAATCGTTTGGGTCAGAGGGAGTGGGGAGTTGTCTCGGGAGTATGCTTCCACGAACTTCATGAGCACCAATAATTCGGAAAGGACCCCTCAAATATCCTTCCGTGCCCCGTGCTCGCCCCGTGGCCCCTCGGAACAAAGGAGCCGGAACCTCTCCACGATGGTGGACCCTGTGAAGGAGCATTAATGGTTTCCGACTAGAATATACTCGTTCAACACAGCCGCATAAACTTAATCACCATCGTAGGACGGTGCTCATTATCGTTAGGGGAAGCTTACTGTTGAGGGGTCATTATTAGCGAGGGAGTTGCCCCGCCGCCGTCGCGTCGTGTAATAGCCGGAAGTCTTCAATCGTATCGAGAGTAGACATCGCTCGTTAAATTTCGGCGTCGGGATAGCTCGGGATGCTTCCAGATGGACCGTCCAGATGGTCACATCGAGAAGTCTGCGGCACGCGGCGGTAAAACCCATCTGTAGTCGACGCATGCGCCAAATGAATGCCGGTGTTGTGTCTGACCCTCATGCGGAGGAGGGTCCGGACCCTCGCCGCAGCTCCACAAGTTCCAGTACGGAGTTCGCAGCTCTAGGCGGCATGCGCTCTCCGCTGGAGATGTGTTCTCCATAAGTTCTGACATTGATTGAAATTCCGCTGGTACGATTCGTTCGCTGTGTTTTTTCGCTGTGACACGGACGCGCTCTTCTCGCTCAGTCAGTGCGATTAGGATCTAGTTCTCGTCCGCCCGTCTGTCTGTCCGTTCGTCGATCAATCTACCCCTATTTTCCTCTCCATCTGTTAAACGATTCATCTCCTTCTGTCGATTACTCGCTTCCCGAATCATCTATATTTCTCAATCCGCCTCATCGATCGTCAATCAATCTACCCATTCATCTATTTAAGCGCTAAGTCCCTTGTATATCGAAAAGTCTGACGATTCGTCTCCATCCGTACACACGAACATATCGGCTCGGACACTCATCTGTCTCGGTGTATTGATTTGGATATAATCTGTAAATACGCGTATACATACATCCTTTCCCCCGACGCCGACGCTAGGCGCTCTAAGCGGATTTTTATCGCGATCTCTCGCTGGAGTAAGGCAGTGTGATGGCGCTCAAATTACATCTGAAAAGATTCACCGGCCTCAAGGAAAGAACGGTATGGCAAGCGCGCGCTACATTCAGAGGTGAGTGCGTTTTTGTGACACTTGGATTTCCATCCGGCGACACCACGTCCAAGAAGTCGAGGACAGATTGTGAAGGAATTCCCGGATGGTAGAAAATATGAGGGAGACCTCGGAACCACAAGATTCCCAACGGTCGACTAGACATTCCGACAATTCCTCATCACCCCAATGTCTTCCAAGGGCTGGACATGTACCTCAGTGTCTTTGTCTGTGGATAATTCCCTCAAGATGCGGTATCATTGCTTTTCCCTTCTGCTCCGCCGAATTTCCACAGTCACTCCGGTCGACTGGACTTTCCTGTGCCTTAGCAATTTTCATCATGCGCGTTACAAAACTTTCTCCTGCTCGACCTGCGACTTGACGATCCTTAGTCCCCGTTCCTCGGTGCGACGACAACCACGCTACACGCCGTCGTTCCTTGTCTCGGCGCTGGTGTAAGCAGCTGGACCTCCTCTCCGGCCCAGACAATAGATGAGACTCAGATTCCGGGCGGCCAGCCAGCTGGCACATATTCGGATGCAATGCCACCGAGCATATGACGAGACCTGAAAAAAGCTCGGGGCTAGCAAGAAATTCTGAAATCGGAGTTGCTACGGGCAAGCTTGTGTGCTCGGTGCGGATCGGACTCTCTCATCGAAGCCTCGAGCAGCGTCAAGCGTATTCTCTCGGACTGAGCTTTGCGTCACGCTCCCTCGAATCGGGCTCTGGTACCTCACAACTCGAGCAAATATCAACTCGGTCCAGGTGTGGTATCTCTGATACTTCTCGGGATTGGAGCGGCTTACGCAGCCCAGCAACGCAAGCAACATAACTCCCGGGATTCTCTCTGCGTAACAAATCGAATTAGGCACGCCACGATATGAGATCAGTAAATCTCTATCACGATGGGGAACAGCTGTCCGTGGAGCCGCCTAAAAACGTGGAAACCGAGCTCTTGCATATGCTCTCCCCGGCGTGGGTATATCTCCGCTCGATGGCCTGGACTTCCACAGCTATCCGCATTCGAGCCGCACATGATGCGGTCTCTGGATTGAGGTTCTGTGTCATGTTCCTTCACATGAGAGGCTTCGTGAGTGGAGCCTATTGTTTCTGCACGGGCTCCGGTGGACTTTCCGTGGGACCCCACGTCCATGTCGGAGACCAAGGAACGCATTGGCGAACCCCTGAACAACCAGAGTAACAGCGAGGGAGAAGCCCGAGTCCTCAGATACTTGGGGATGAGTATCCCTGAGTGGGTTAGCTGGGAAAGAATCTTGGAAGGGACTGTGCTTCACGACCGAGTGGGTCGCCCCCCCCGCCCCGTTCCCCGAACAGGTGTTACTGTCAATAAAACGTATGCGGGGCGTTTTATGGGCGTGTCACCACAACGAACTGCAACGCAGCTCGCGTCTTCGATACGATCGTGAGGTACCTGCCATTGAGACCGGTCGAAAGTTTCGAGCTCCTCATATGGTCGATCCCTCCAGGCACTGAGTGAGATCTAGTGCGGACAGCATCACAATGCAGCGAAAGCTGCGGCGATTTTGCATTTCACACTCTGCGAGAAATGCCCTGGATAGCTCCATGAATTGCTACAATCGCTACTATTCCTTCCTCGAGACTCGTTTTGAGTGATTCAGATAATTCCTCCTATGCTTTCGACATCGATCGCAACCTCAGGAACGACACGCAAATTTGACAGCAACTCTCATCGCTGTGAAATAGCTCCTGCCGAATGCATCACGAATCGATAGCGGAGACGCGAAGAGCTCTCGGAGTTTGACCTCAACTCTCGCCTTCCGAATTCAAGATGAGAAAATGCAGGAATGCGCGAAAATCATTCTCATGGAGACAATGGATGGAATCTCGCATTTCTTTGAGTTAATTCAAATGCAAATGATGCGTCGACGTCTAGCTTCGAAATCGGGCCTCACGAAAAGATTCGCTGACCCGTCCAAGGTAGCTGCTCCCCCTCAGATGACCATTGTGGAAATCCGTCGTGCGAAATTCCGAACGATGAATGACCCTGAGCTTGCCCTGAGAGCAGTTGGCCTTCGGGTCGCGAGCGCTGTATTCCTCTGGACGTTCTCATGGGAAGAGAGCGCGAACGCTCCAAGCATTTCGAAGGATTATCAGGCACGCTTATCGATCGACCGCTTTTCGATCGATCACAAAGCCGGGAATGATACTCCCAGATTCATAGTCCCAGAATCATACTCTCACGATTCTTCCCGCTCTCGTAGAATCGATCCCGGTCGTATCCGTCACAATGGGTACACCTGATGTGAACAATTGTGCACTCAACAAACAAGGAGCGGAGGAATTAGAACCAATTCTTCACTGAAGCCCAATGGATGCATCTGAATGAGTATCGCGGAGCAATGCAGCCGAGCCCAGTAACAACATCGACCGCACCATTTCCTCACCCGACCGCGAAGCGTCATTAAAAAGTTTCGACTGATATGAAACGAACATTCGCGGAACCATCGGAGCCGCCCGCCGCTGTCGGCGAAATTTCCATTGCTATTCTCGCGCTGTATGTCTGCTGCCACTGACGCGTATTCTTCGAGTTCGTTTGCGAGCACTTTGAACGGAGCAGATCAGGAAAGGCTAAACGAAGGCTTGATCTCTTCCTTCTGATTCACTGTCGCTGTCGGAAACGAGAACCCAGTGAACGACAATCCAGCGAGAACTTCCTGGGTCGAGATCTCGAGCTTTTGCTCTCTGATATTGTTGCGGCATCGTTGTTGGCTCCGCGGAAATTGCTTTCGAGATGGGATCGAATTCCCTTCGTTTGGAACCGATGTTCGTGAACGTCATTGTCGCGGAATCCGGCCGCGATTAGTTGTCCGAAGTCTGATAAGACGCCACTCCCGCGAGTATTGTCCTATTCCCTACAGGAGTCATTCGCGAGTAAGTCTCACGCGCAGGCTCTTGCCGGAAGCAGCAGCTTCCGACTTCCGACGAAGACGAGTCCCGAGTGACACGACTGATAGTGATCTAACATGAGAGTCTGCTCTGGGGAGTGCGGTGGGCGCCTCGCTAATCGAAATACAACTTCGTCGATGTCCATCGCCGAAACACATTGTCCCAAGGATTGGCTTAGCGGTTACCTGAGAGCCTGAATGAGAACACTTTTCAGGCTCCCGGCAACGTGACTCCGACGCACTCTTCCCGCATCTGAGGCGTTTTAATCTCGAGCGTAGGCTCGTTTGGACGGACGACTCCGAAGGCGAGCGTCCGATGTTCTCGGGTTAAAGAGCCCCTGTCGCCGTCAGTCGGATCAAGAGGCCATTACGACGCGCGACGTGACGTTGAAGACCGTTGTTCGCTCCGAAGGCATTACTGGTGTCGAGCTTGACAAACGCAGCTTGTTTTCCACTACGGAGTCGCTGTTCATGCAGTGTTCGGACGGAATATTTAATTACGCGATTTCACAAGGGCTAACAACAGGACTCGGCAATATTGAGCTGCACGTCCCCGACACAATCTGCGTCGGTTCCCACGCCCGACGCAGCGTATGCTGTCTATGCGCGAACCGGAGCGTGAGGACTCACTCTCGGCAGCTCGTGGCGGACCTCTCTGCGAAGACCAAGATCTCTCGGGTGCTGCGTAGCTGCGAAGTCCCGCACGGCCGGTACGCCTTCGGCCGATGGATCGGGGTCTGTGATTGATTAGTGAGCTCTCCGAAGGTTCGCGGGGCTTCTGTTCCAGGAACAAAACACTCCCATCAAGGAGAGGCGAAACAAGGCATACTGTCTCCATTCCCAAGCCTCCCGTCTCTTCGAGGACCGCGAGGAATCTCCGGGGAAAATCTCCACTCAACTAATCAGAATGTATGGCGCTTCTTCGTGCTCGTGGCTCATGATCCACACAAAGGATTAGGGGATCGTCGTCGTCGATCCTCGTCGTCGTTTGGATTCTCGCTCGACCTTGGTGCATAATAAAATACCGAAACTTTTGCGCGATCCCGCATATCGACCTCGTAGGTATTCGGAGCTTAGGCATTCCGATCCCAGATTCCTCCAGTTTGGCATTCCCCGGAGGCCTCGTGAGGGATAGCGGAGCCCGCGCGGGGAAGCGGAGGGATCTGCGGGAGCCTTTGTAGCGATGACGTGCAGGTCCGGCTGATAGAGTTCGTCATTTTTTCGAGCTACAGAATGTTTTCTCATTGATCTCGCATACGCTCGAGAAGCGTCTAAATGTCCTTCCACCTGAGTCAAGTACGCGCTTATCGTTCCCGTGCGTGAGGACGGGGAAAATCTTTCCTACTCTCTCGATCGCACTGTCGAAGCAGTGCTCACAAATGAGCTCAACTGTACATATAAAGATTTGAGAGCTGAGAGCTCATCGTCCCACGAAAGGGGAGAGCACGATCATCCACGAACGATGCGACGTCGAGTTGTGTCCAGAAGTTCGTGGATTCCAGGATGCCAACGCCGCGCGCTTTAAGAGCGCTCTCCATCACGGTCCGATATTCTCGACCTGATTGGATCAGGTTTGACGTACGGCCGTTTACGTCTTCCGCCAGAGGATATTCACCACATAGTTACCACGTGGATATGACACGTTCTCAAATTTCGACATAAACATGTGAATCTACGGCACGTCTCAGCCCGATGTCGGCGCTCCCGTACTGCCTCGAGGCTCTCAACCTGTCTATCGGGACGAGCCTGTCCTTTCAGATCCTCGATTCCTGAATCACCAATCCCCTGTCGACGAGCTTCCTCGGAAGTTACTCGCAGTCAGCGGAAAGGTCGATCCGGTACCACAGTCGTCTCTAAAGCGTTCATCCCGCATGAGTACGTTCTCGGAGTACTCGGAAGTGAGCTCTATCTGAATGCTGCCCCCACCTATGATGATCTAATCAGCAAACAATTCATGGCGCCCGTCGTTCCACGCAGGGCGGGCAATGTTTCGCTACGCTCTCGGAATATCAAGCGACTCGAGTCTCCCCTTTGTGCAGTGCTCAAGAGAAATGGGGGATAATAAACAGTAACCGACATTCACTTGACGACGGTATCCTAACCATGTTTCCTCATGGTTCTACCACGTTGCGTGGGAATATCGGGTGGTGCTCCCGAAAGCGGGCGGTACAGAATGATTGGACGATGGGGAGCAAAGTGAAAGCGGAGTTCTTTAGACAATGATGGTGTGGTGCAAGATGAGGTCGTTCTGGGAGTATGTCCCGCGACGTCTCGATGTGAACGGCCATCAAAACGATGGCTTGCTCCGTCCTCATTGATGGCCATGGAGCGGAAAATGCCTGCGAATACTTATGTTTAGGCCTGAAAATCCTGTGGAGGGCAGACGTCCGCGGGAACTTGGCTCTGGGCCGATTTTTTTCGTGAGATCTCCAAGAGCCTTATGGGGGAAGGAGATTTGTGGTGAAGGAGATTTGGTTCTGGCGGATTCCGACGCCAAAATGCTCGACATGAGACCTCCGGGCTAACTATTAAATCGGCTTAGCTGCCCGCCCGGTCATTGGCCAGATGAGCGGCGGGTTCGCCTGCTCGCGAACGAATCCATGAGAGCCCCTTCGCGCGGACCCTTCAGCTACACACATCTCCTCCCAGTTGGTACGCTCACGTTCCGCTCCTCGTACGCTTAACACCGACGACGGCGCCGCCGCGCATTTGCCCTAGAGGCGTGAGGAGCCGACGTTCGTGTTTGACTCGTTCGCCATTCCGGCCCCAAATTATTCATCTCGTCCCGTTGTCTCTCCTCGCTACTTTTCCGTACAGGATTCCTTGGACTTTCGCACTTTTCTGCGCTAGTCGCGGAATATTTTTGCCCCGGAAGGCCCTCAGCCTCGCAGTCGCTCCAGGACTAACCGGAGTCGTTTAGGTGAAGTCACGATGAATCTAATTGTGCGCGAATCCAGAATGCGATGGAAGCACGCTTCTGTGGAAATTCGTTAAAGGTGAGGGTCCCACCGACCGCCGTATAGAGCGGTACGAATACGTACGTGAGGCACTCTCCGACGAGGCTCGCAACCACGGTCGACATTGCATCGTCCATACCGGTATGAGCATCGAGACAGGGGAGATTAAACCTATTTGACCGGGACGCGCTTCGACACCTGAATACAGTCTTTGGGAGCGTCAAACTCACTCGGGGCGAGGGCGATTTACAGTAGCGAACGTTAGCCGTCATTCTGCTGTTGAATATTTACGAGACGCCTAAAAGTCGTCGGCGTCGTCATCCCTACTTCGTGGCAACGGCGGATGCCACAGGCGAGGAAATGTAATAAAAATGTAGAACGGAGTCCAGGCCACTTTGATCGGAACCATCCAGAATGTGAGGTGTAAATTACCGGTGCTGCCTCCCAGCCGAGTGGAGCGATGCACGCGGGTTCCACCTGGTCAGTTTACAAGGAAGCTGACATCATAAAGCTCATTCTGACCATCAGTCAGAGCAGTCGATGCTGGCGAAAATGTCTGAGCGACTATCTCGATTTTCTACTTAATTCTGGTACTCCCTCTGGGAATATCGTTAGGCTCCGGGATCCGGTCTAAGGATTCGAAAGCCTTTTGCGGAACGCTCTCATATAGGAACTGATTCTGTAGCTTGAGGCGAGCCGGAGATATTCCTCCGCTTTGTTTAACCTCATCGAACAGAGGAGCCCCGCAGGATCGCCAAATTGAGGCTTTCGAAGCATCGACGATGACCTGGATGGCCGGTTCTGAGAGACTGGAAGTGTCTCCCCGATTCTTCCGCTCGACCGAGAACTTCGCTCGAACGAAACTTCTCCTCAAGCGCTCGAAGCTCTCGCCTTCATTGGCATTGAGCTCCTCTCCTGCCCCTTTTCCGCTCGCTGACAACAATCAGTCAGAGCCTGCATTGCAAAGGACCTGGTCCGCGGAGAATTCCTCATGCAAATATTTCAAACCTGAATGGATGTAAGGGGCTCCTTTCAGAATCTTGATTTTGCCGGAAACGCAACAAAGCGAGGGATTCCTCGTAGATTGAAGCTGCGGAGCGACTGCGAGGGAGGCGACGGTACCGACGTCGTACCCAACCGAATGCTTTCATCGACGACAAAAAGCCAGCGGTGACCACTCGCCCGGCTCGAGGGTAGTGAGATAGCATACGCGGATCCGCAGCTGATTTCTGGTCGTCTGCCGTTAGAAAACAAGATCCAACAGCAGTCAGCCATGCTCCAAAGGGGTTCTGCACGCCATCCTGAGCTCCTGAACCCGGAACATGGGTCTGTATCCTTCTCCCTCCGAATTGTGAATGAGTCCATCCCCATGAAATAAATGATGATCAGCTCCACCGTCGGGTCCCAGAATCCGATTTGACCCTTCCCATCGAGTGAAATTTCTCGACGGAAGTAAGACTTAGTTAGCGGGTGCCCGGCGAGAAGCGCGTCGGTGGACTATGTTCTCCGGCTCAGAACAGTCGATTCGCTTTCGATCTTCAATCGATCCAAGTGAGCCATAAGATCAAGGCTACAGTCGTCACGTAGGCACGAATGCACGCCCACCGTTGAATCGCCGCTACAAAAGATCGTACAACCACTCGAAAAGAGCTTGAACAGCTCATATCTGTGGGGAGGAGGATGTCTCGAGACATACGAGAGCCGCTCAAAGGAAACACGGGTCGATCCGACTTCAAAGATTCAATCGATTCTGGAAAATGTCGCCCTCTGCATGGTACTCCCTCAGACAGGCAAGACGACTTGCGAAAGGAACGTTTCCTGGCAGTGGAAGGTCGACCGAACCCCTCCGCCTACGTCTGGATGACGACATGCCGTCACGAGTCGACCACCGATTTTCGACTGGGAACCTGGCACAAGGTTTCTTATCCTCTGTGACTCTGGATGCTCGTGAATACCAGAGTCGAAGACGACAAACGGTGACGACTCCTACAAGGATATTTCCTCCGATTTTTTATCGTTTCTATTATATTTTTGTCGCTTCTATATGCCACGAGTCACTCGCGGAGCTCTGGCTCGAGCATAGTGCAACGACTGCGCGGGCAGCTACGTCGCGTTGGTCGACTATCCTGGATATTTCCGGCGTGCGATGTGAGAGATGCGTCAGCGGTTCGTCAATGTCAACTTCCAGCCGATAGAGAACACCCATGCTTGATCCTAATCAGAATCACCTAATCGTATTCGCTCACAAAGAATAATTAGCCCTAGTCCCTAGGTCTAATAATAATAATAATTAGGTCTAGTGGACCGAGCCCTAGTCTGATTGATTGAAGGAATTGAATTGAACTCCGCGAACTCGGAATTCCTTTCGATCCATGGTATCAGACCTCTCGAGCTCGTTCTCTCGGGTTCCCTCGCATCATCCTCCTCTTCCGCTCGCATAAGAGGAGAAGCGCTCCCACATTCATATTTTAAAGCAGGCAAATCATCGCGGAGGCAGATTCTCCTCGGAGCGAGTCTGAAAGATAGACGTCCAGCTCGGCCTCGCTTCCCGGAACAAACCGCTGCTTGTCGATCCGAAAGTTCTCCTCGCTCTCATCTAGCATGAGGCAGGATATACATACATCCGCAAACTCCGGCCTGATTGTGCCGCAAACTCGCGGAGATTTCGATGTTGACCTGTCTGCTCAGCCTGAACTCGATTTCTCTCATACCGTCATCGTTCGAAGATCCGCGACATGACAGAATTTTTGTTCTTGGGAAAGAAACATCGGATCTCGCGGATGAAATCGAGTTTGTTTCTTAGCGAAGAGCTTTCTTGAGCGTCTCGGTCAGCCGATGTGGATGACAACTCCGGATACGGTCTGGCGTCGAACCGTGCGTAAGACATGCGTCCCAAGATTGTCTACTTCATTTTGTGAGAACGAGCTGAAGCGAGGTTTTCGCCAAACATGGCTCGCGCTAGAAACCTTACTTCTGAGCCTTTCGAAAAATTGCTCTCATTCCGAATTTTGGGAACCATGCAAAAAGGGAGCATGACATCAGCGGCTACCTGATGGCCGCTAGGGTATTTCGCAGGTTTCAGTGACTGGGAGAGCGGATGTTATGATCGGGACGGAACCGCTCTCGGAGAGCAGAACAGGGGGAAACGAGAAGGTTTAGAGTTCCCCAATCGAGATTCCTGGATTGTCCCTTTCTCAGCCGATCGCCTCATTGCAGGCAAAGCTCACCGGTTTCTCCATCGACTTGAAATTCGAAGGGTATGAAGTCTTAGCAGGAGGAGTATCGGCGGGAAAGAGGAACTCGCTCGAAGTTCCCCGCGTTCATCCCGCTGCGTACGAGAATGACTTCGTCCGAGGGACCACAGACACATCACAAGGACAAATAAACATGCGGGAAAGTTATTCGAGACAACGAGGTCTGCGACTCTGTTCCCGTATTCGGACAAGTTCGATGAGCGCCGCTGTTGCCGGCAAAAAGCCGCAGCTGTCCGTTGGTGTAGTTAATTAGACAGCTCCCAATCGCTACTTTGTGAGCGACGCTGCGGCTCAGACAAACGTCTGTGGAGCTCTCGACGCATGGGCCCGATGTATGACGGGACATTTATACTCATGAGAGAAGACAGAAAATTGATTGTCTCCTGCACCGTCTCCCATCCGCCGAGTCCAAAAATGACTCGACGCAGAACTGTCCGGGAAATAGCGCGAATTCATTACTCCATGAAATCCCGGGAGGGAGCTCGTGAAATGATGCGGGCTTCCAGATGCTGGTCGCATGTGGACATTCCTCAACGGGCGGTCAGTTAATTGAGGGATGAAATCCCCTCCCCAGGAGGGGGGAGGAGTTCGGCGCCGTATGGACAGATCATCGCCCTATTATACGCCGCGAGGTTGAGCAGGCTCGTCCTAAAGCGTGGCGGTCGAGCGTTTTAATTTTCTAGAACGAGGAAATTATGCTCCGTTTGACCGACCAACCTCCCAATCGCGGATATTGCACTCCCGTCTTGTACTTTCCATCAGCGACTTCTACACGAGCTCGAACATCCCGATTTTCCTTCGTGCTCTTGAATAATACCAGAGACCTTGCAGGTATGTCATACCGGACGAAGTCTTGCGCGTTGGCTGCAGGCCAGGACGAAGCACGACTGGACGAGGTCTTCGAATGGCCAATCGGGAGACCTATAGACCCTCATGAGACACTTGACATTCACCTCATCAACAAGAGCAAATACAACATCGCGGGTGTCAACAGGTAAGAAAAGCTGTTCGATGGCTTATCAGCCGAACGGATTCTATTCGGAGGAGAATTAGAGTGTATTGCCTATAGCACGGAATTGCTCTTGAGGAATGCCACACAGGGATGATCCCTGGGGAATCCTCGAGGAATCCTAGAAGCCTGGGTCTCCCGGAGAACTCAACCATCGACTCAAGACATTCGACTCTCCATCAGGAGAATGCAATGAGAGTCGACCCGACGAGATGGCGGAGGAGATCGAAAACCGCGACAACGTGGGGAAGGCGGGGAAGGGGGTGACTTGGCGTAAAGAAAAACAGAAGTAGAGGTTACCTCCGGCTGCCGCTTTCAGCGTCTGGCTGTGGTGCAAGCATAAAAAAGTGCTCCTCGTAGTAGGCCACTGCTCTCAAATTACGTATTCAGTACGTTGCCTCCGCGAGACGAGCTGGAGCGGTGAGGGCACTCGCATCGTATTTAATGTGAGCAAATACGATCAACGGATCCAGTCGTTTGGTCGTTTCGCAGGGGAAGGCAAGCGTTCACGGTTACGAGAACTCCCTGAAAATAGAGCTAGCTATCGTCTTTCCTCCCTTGAGTCCATCCAGATACCCCACGATCGACTAAAGCCATTTTATATGACGCGAGACACGACGGCTCTTGGGAGAGAGCTACTTTCCCTTCATCAAATACTCTTTATTCCGTGGAAAAATCGTATCATGCGAGAGTTCAATCCGGATCCGGCCCAACGGCTAGGCATTCTTATGGAAAAGTGACGAGCCCGACATATTTTGCGATCGATGGAGACAAGACTCCGTGTTGGGAGGCACTCCAGACAAGACTCTGTAGCGGAAATTGCTCGATGCGCAGCCCGTTATTTGGGAACCGGAGCTGTTTGACGGAGAAAAATTGCCCAGAAGAATAATAATTTCCGTGCGAGCATTCACGCGAAAAGCTTTGGTGTCGGAGAGCAGGCATGCATATGTATATGTGCCGCGGATATCAGCTGTTTCTCGGCCGATAGGACGCCGAAGCTCTTCCTGGCGGCCCGTACCCGCATCAATCAACACCCTCTTTCGAGCCGTCTCACCGAGGTCACATCAGATGCGAAATTTATCGCAGTGAAGGTGACGATAAGAAGCTTGCCTTCTCTCTGCGAGCCATCCGACGGAAGATTGCCTTGTCCATTCAGACGGCTTCTCGAAGAGCAGCTCGAAGTCGGGGTTCCGTCAAGAGGAATAGAGTCTCCTTCTACTCCTGCGGCGAAAATCTGTTCGGAACAGCAGAAATAAATTCCCGTTCGGTTCGTCGGAGGAAATCCTTCTTCCGCATTGATATCAGCTGAGCGCTCGTTTTTCGAAAGGCTCGACCTCCAAGGACTTTTCTGTTCGGATGTATGTGGTTTTCCATCTTGATGACACGCAACTCATTCAATGAGGGAGACGACATGAAATATTTTGGGACTTTCACTGAAAACTGGGACAACCCCGTACAAATCGGAGCTTTGAGAATGATTCCGATCTCCGCGACCGGGATAATGGATTCTTTAATTAAGAATGCATCCGAATTTCGTCGACGGACCCCTCTCGGGGAGGGGGGCAGGAGAAGGGGAGGCTGCCAGTCCCACGCGCGCTCCGGAAATCTGTTCAACTCGCGGTCCGCTGCGCCATTCTCCTTCCAACTGCGCAAACGATGACGGCAGCGGCGGTTCCAGAGAAGCAAAGCAACAAGAGCAGCGCGGAGGGACGAAATTGAGCAGAGAAAACCAGTGTCTACTGGATCTATTTTTTACGCGTGCCCTAGTAACTCCTGCCCTCTCGTAAGGGAGCGGACATCGTGGAAGCCAGAGGAAGACTGAAGACCGTCGATTTGAAGAGGCGGGATGTCCCGATGATGAAAACCCGAAGGGAGAGGCAGTTCGTATTGGAGACTTCCCCGAGAAAAATGTATAAATATTGACAAGACGTTCTAAACCTGCAAGCGCATATGTCCTTAGGAACCTGGAAGAATGCGAACGCACCGCCTGCGTCGTCGGCCTCTCCGGGAAGTCCCGATGGACGACCGAGCCAGCGGACGATGAAATCGGAATTCTCGGAGGGGATGCCGTGCTTCGCACTTGTAGGCTCGACCGGAACAGGGGCAAAATTAGCATACGTTACGCTAACATCCTCTTCCCCAAACTCGAGCTGATGATGGTTTGCAGCACGTCTTCTTGAGAAATGTCTCGTCACTGTCAGACTGCGTTCGCCCCTTATGTCCGGTCCGCCGACGGCGCGGCGTCGGTCCGGGTGCCTAATTCAACGCTCGGATGGCCTAGTTTCCAGCGCTCGCAACGTTGCTTGGAAATTCTGTTCTCTGGAACATTCTCAACGTCATCTTCCGAGTACTTTATGTCTCGTTCGGATGTATCGATTCGGACTCACCCTCGGAGAACTATTCTGAGGCGATCCAGACAGAGATGTTCATTGCACTCCTCCATTATGCGTCAAGTTGTGAATTTTGCACGCGAGAACGTGGTATTCTGACGCCCGCTCGTCCGTCCTTCCGTCCGCGCGCTTATTCGACCTTCCACAGGCCCGGCAGCGTCTCTTCAGTCCGTCGTTAATGACTCCGACCAAGAAGTGAGGATAACAGATAAGCATTCAAGGTCGAGTAGTCAGGAGCGTTTCCCAGGATGGCTCGAGACTTCCTGAATGAAAAAAAGTCCGAAAGTAGATCCACCGCCTAAAAGTCTTCGATCGCCTTCTTCGAGCTTGTCTGTATCGTCAAAACGCGCAGCGTGAATCGTGGTCACGCGGAGTGAACTCCATAGGGAATTCTCCATGCCTGAACATCCTCTCCGGGACATGGAGATTATTGATCCCGAGACATCTAGCCGAGGCGACGAGTTCCCCCGCAACAACCTCCGAGGAATAAATTGGTTATGCGAAAAAAAGTTGACGACTTCGATCCGCGAGATCGTTCCTTTGGTTCCCGCGGATCGCTAGCTCGGGAGCTCATTACTCATTACCTACATACCTATAAGCCATTCGTACTCCCCGCATTCAGGAGCGTGGCCGGCACGTACCGCATGGTGCTGCAAGAGTTGCTCACCCAGAAACATCTCGTTATCTGCGACGATGTTCTCATTGACCTCAACAATCAGCCAACCTCTACAGGAGTCACCATGGAACTACACTACGTCGTCCCCAATGACTCTCTCTATCAGGTTCGGAGAATTGCTGATTAAGCATTCATATCGTACACTCTTGCTACAAAGTTTGGCGGCCATCTAGGCGGAGATTGTTTTTTTGAAGGGTCGCTAACACGCTGCAATGCGGCGAACCGCGTGCTCGAAATGATTTGCAATTCTGTTTGCGACAGATTCCGCTAGACGAGCGAGGTGCTGTCGATGGGATGAATATTCAAGGTCTGAAACATATTTCCAGGTCGAACAATCTCTCAGCGAATTGGAAAGGCAGTATGCCGCCGCAATCCAAAGTGCCCAAGCTTCAGGTCAAAGCAGCGACACGGATACGGACGGTAGGAGCTCCGATTCGCGATAACTGGCGCAGAGCTGCATTTTTCTCCCCCTCTTTCCGTCTCATGGAAAAAATGCGCCCACCGTTCGGATCGTCTCAAACGCGAGAAATCCCAGTCCATGTATCGACCCTGATTGCGGGTCTCGACCACCAAGTAATTCTGGCTGAATTTATTCCACATGTTCTCACAGCGACTGGAGAGCGGCACACCTTGTTGAAAACTCGGAAACGATCGATGTCGAGCGCTGTGCGAAATATCGCCAATATCATGAAACTAAAGCACAAAAGAAGAAGTTCACCCGGAGTCAGCGATGACGAGGTTTGTTGGAAAATTCTCCCACTTTCGACTTACTTCGAATTCTCCCCGAAGACGACGTTCCGAAACTTCAGAGACGGGGACTTCTGGGGTTTCCGTCGCACTCGCTCCGAAGGGGGGGCGCTCCGAAGAGTTAGTCGAGCGCCTCAGGCTCTTGGGGTCGGACTGTTGCTCGGTCGACGGGCCTAACTGGGTTGGAAAAAGCGTCCCGCGCAAATAGCCCTCGCGGTGAGCCATGCATCATCCAAGTCGACGGGCAAGCAGACAGGCGAGCGGACCGAAGTAGGGCCGACTCACAGCACGGGCTCATTCGGAAGAGCTCAAACCAACTCATTTTGCTGCTTTACAGGCGGATGACTGCAGTGTAGCTATAACGGTCGGTCCCACTATCACTGGCGCACAGTACGGCTCGACCCACAGTATTTTGCGGCATATGAGTGATAACACGCTGGACATGTTGGCCGCAGGGTCCCGTCTGGGCGCGGGTCCCGAGGACGCCCACGCGATCACGAGTCCCGTCCTTGTCAAAAAAATACGACCTACGGGTCTGGGCGACAGTCTCAAGGCTCAAGACTTTCAGGTTGGAACCTTGACCTCATTTTCCCCCAGACTATCTATTCATCCTCTCCAATCCTCGTATCGTGACTTCCTAGTTCCCATATGGGAATGCTATTCTCGTCGACTCCTTGCCAGTATTTCCCCGGTCGGCATCTTCAACAGAGGAAAATTTTGCGGGAAAAAATCGGGATCAAGCCTAAAAAGATCATTGCCCATTGCCAGATATGTGTTACAATCATCGAGGCCAGACATCTCGCGGGATTGAACATGGACCCTGTCGTATGTGTCCAAGTAGGAGAGCAGAGAAAATACACTTCAGTCAAGGAGTCGACAAACTGTCCTTACTACAACGAGGTATGACAGTCTTGATGGAAGTTCCTCTCGTCGTCGATGGCGGAGCAGAACCCTCCACAAAACTGTTCTTCCTCCTCTGAGCGAAAAACTGACTGTCCGGTCCGGAACGGGCGAACAAAAACAGAAAGAACATTCAGGCTGGGAGGGGAGTCCATGCTCGAGACGGCGGTGACAGAAGGAGGATCTATTGATTTCGCTTTTCGAAGAGGAATCGAGATTCCACCTCTCATAATTAATTTTTGGTCCGCAGTACTTTGTTTTTGACTTCCACTGCGCCGAAGCTGTTCTCTTTGACAAAATGGTTACAATTACGGCTCTCCATTCACGCAACTTGATACGCTCGGGCAAAGTAATTGGTACTTTCAAACTCGACGTCGCGACGATATTCCGACAGCCAGGTGAGCGGCTTCCTAACGAGAATCCATCGATAGGCACAAAGAGCTCGCGATCGAAAATGAGGCTAATCGCCCGACCTTCGTCCGAGGTTTTTGTAGCCACAAATTCGAGGAATGAATTAGCCGTGCAAGCTCTTTTTTTTCTCTCGTTCATCCTCACCGAGTTATTCGATTGCAGACCATCAGTTCTGGCACAAGTGGGCGGTTCTGACCGATCCCGACGATATGAGTGGAGGACCGAAAGGCTATGTTAAATGCGACATTTCCGTTATCGGCAAAGGAGAAGCCTCCAAGCCGCCTTCTACAAGTAGATCTACTTCAGCCAATCACGAACAAGACGACGACATCGAAGGGTGAGTAGTGGGATGGATGGATCCGACCTGAATTCGCACAAGTCCCGGAAGGCATGATCGCTGTGACTACTTTGTATTCACCTCTCTGATGCCTGTCAGTGATATCAGCGGTGTATTCGCTTCGTAGAGCTTGTAAGCAGAACCGAGAGAGACCGTATCGCGCCGGAACCCTGTTATGCAATAGTCGTGATAAGCATACCTCTACTGAAAACTCAGTTGGCTCGCGTGTTATCGCACCGATAATGTAGGTTCCGTTTAGTGTTCACTCACCAGGAAATAATTCGTTACCCCTTCTCCTCGGAGTCTGAGATTAGGATTCGGATCTCTCGCTCGAGTTCGTTCGGCACGGTGGATAATCCGAGCGTTCCGTTCCTAGGTTCCGATACGGAGCGGCTTGTCGAGAAAATCTCTCAACATGCTACAGTTATCCCATCGGGATCGCGGGCTATGGGGCTCCAATTTAGGATTGCTTTGAATGAGATGCCCGCTTTGAGTAACTAATGCTTGAGGATTCAAAGTCGAGTCGTCTATTCATTTTGCTTATTCAACCAGTGATACTGAAGGAATGGAATGCGGGGGAATGCGTTGAGAATCGCTAGTAGGAATACAACTACCCTACGCTGTCGGAGATATCATTCGAGATTCGATGCATTGTTTTCCATTTTGCCGCTGAAGTTTGGAGACCGAGAGACGCCGACAAGCTCGGCGAAAGCTTCTGCCCTTACTTCATGAGTTCTTCTGCACGGCTGAAGATGGCTGAGTACCTTGAGTGGCTAGCAGGCCTCATTCAGATTCGCATTGACGATTTCCTCGACTTTTTGAAACGACTCCGTATCGTGCACGAGCTCGCAGGTCAAGGTCCGATAGCCGCGTTCCCCATGGGACAGCCATGGTATTCTGCACAGGGCTGTGAAGGGTTTTCGTGGAAATTCTTCCGTAGAAGGACTTCCCGAATTCTCTTCGTTGGTCCTTGCGGTGGGAACGGAGGGAGACGTACTCTGACAGACGTTTTTCCGTCCATTGATTATGTTTTTTTCTACCCCCAGGAATCTCCTGCTGCCAGAGGGAATGCCCACAGAGAGACAACACGCGCGCTACATCGTCTCAATCCATGAAGCAGATGGACTCCCGAGAGCGAACGGAGGGAACTTGGTAGCTTCAGTGAAGAAGGTCTTAGCTCAAGATAGTCAACGCCAGTTGATCGACCCATTCGTACAGGTCTCTTTCGCGGGTCTCACGGTGAGTTGATGCAGATTTCATCGACTGTCTTCAGTGAGGGGTAGGGGACTCGGCCAATTCTTCTTCCAGCGAAGAGCATCGAGGAATCAATAAACTCTAAATGGAACTCACACTCAGAAGAGGGAGAGGGGCGTGCCGTAATTCAGCCGTCGGTGTCTCCATGAGCCCATAGCCAAATGGACAGGAGACCTTGCGGCTAACCTTGACGATATCACCTCGCGAGGGGCTCGCAGTAGCTCAGGCTCGTTGTTCCTGAGAATTCTTCGTCTGTTCAAGGGCAAGACATCGGTCAAGAAGAGTTGCTGCTCACCCGTATGGAACGAGCAGATTGTATTCACGGAGATGTTCCCCCCGCTCTGCCAGAGGATTAAGCTGCAACTACGCGACAACGGGCCGGTCAAGGACTCGGTGATCGCCACTCATTTCATCGACATCTCAAAGGTTCGTATGAATACGGAGACACAGTCTACCGAGGCGAGAGCGGAGCCGTAAAGCTCCGATGCGACGAGCACGCGACAGCTCAGCGAGCCGGGTCTCTATTCGCGCCTCATTGAATTGCAGATTTCAAACGACGGAGACAAAGGCTTCCTGCCGACGTTCGGCCCTTGTTACATTTATCTATATGGATCGGCACGAAGTAGCGACTCGGTGTTCCAAAGGGGCAGCGCTCACGCGCCTCTCAACGACGGCTTAGCGGAAGGAGTGATGTATAGGTGAATGGATTGGAGGGAACAAAAAGATGTTCCGCATGGGAAAAAAAACTTCGAATTCTTTCGGGCTCGCTCGTTCTTTTTCCGCTCGTGCTGAGGAGCTGCCCGGTCGTTTCAGAGGTCGTCTGCTGGTTTCCGTCCGAACTCAAGTTCTACCCGAAATGGCAGTTATGCAGCTTCCGCCTTCAGTTCATGTTGAAGGTGCGCCGCCAATCACGGAGGACAACCCAACGAAAAACGAGGATTTCTTCCTGTCGGCCGTCATCATGGAGGGTCACATGATCGACAAACGCTTCGCCGACAAACCGGTTCAGTTCGAGCTGAGCATCGGGAACGCGGGCAACACGCTCGACGGCGAGCACGGAGTGGACTCGAGCGAATGGAAATCCACGACGCCATCGATGAAGCCCACGAGCGGACCCGAGCCCGGCGACCATCTGCACATGGGCTTCGGGCACTGTAAGCCGGTTATTTGGGTCCGGAGCAGCTGGCCGGATTACAGACGCAGATTATACCTGTCAAATATGCTGCATAGGTGAGTCGTAGGGCACCTAGCCAACAGAATATTCCCTCACCAGTTCTAGAGGTTCCCGGCCGACCGGCCAGTAGGCCGGCGAGGGGGCCGGCGGTCGGTTTGCTGGCGAGCTGTTGGTCGCTCTTGTTGTTTGTTCAAGGTCAATACAGCTCCCGTTTCCTACTAGTGGCAGTTTTCCTCGACAAGTGGCCTAAGGCAGCTCTAATTCCCGGACATTTTATGCTGGACCGGAAAAGCGCTGCGGCAATTGCCAACATTGCCACAGCCGAGAAGTGCTTGCTCTGGACACTTCAGGCTGAGCGTTGTACAGCGCATTGGCGATCGAGTTCCGCGTCCCAGCTGCGGATGACGCGAAGACCATGCTGGGGGTCGGCAGACACCGACAAGCGGCCCCGTTGTCGGGGGAGAGGGGCACGAAGGTTTTCGGAACTCCGTCGGATGGCTTAGTTCCTCAACACGAAGTCCGAGTTTTGTCACCGGAAACGTGCGGAACTTGTGGCCTGCCCGGATCCGAGCGCTCAGAGGAGAACGGAGGGCAGAGTGTTGTGCATAGTCAATGCCAGTGGAAAACTTTGCGGGGACCGTGGCATGATTGGCTTCTATCATTTACAGGATCCTCGAGCGGCTCGAGTTCGGCGTGAGCGATGTTTTGGAAATGGTGAGGTTGGAACGAGGTGATGCAGATCGACGTCTCCGAGGAGTGCTCGAGCAGTTGGCAAGCGATTGTGCGGCTTATCTCCAGCATTACAAGCAAGAACATCCGTCGAAAAGCAGCACCAGAGTTCGTGTAAGCGTTCGCTGCGAGTGCAAACGCACTATTCCCCCTAGCGATTTCTCGCCGTCCTTTGCCTAATCTCGTTCCCGCGTTCCGTGCCGCGGATAAAGATCGCATTCGGATTCGAGTCTCCCTAGGAGCTCTATTCTTTATTCTTGGTCTCCTCCACCCCACGCGCAAGTTCTGCATCGCCCGGATGCGGGGCAATTCTGCGATTCCGTAGTCACGCAGAGAAAGTTTCGCCCGGATCGAGGCGAAGATTGGTTTCTCGAAAAAGAAAAAAATATTCCAGAGAAGTAAGCTCGACCGTGAACGGGAACGGCATTGCCAGCGTGAGGTCGATCACATGGGAACCATGGCCCGTGCGATGAAACCGCTCTTGAACCGGCACTCGTTCAAGGAGAAACTTCAGGCAACCCAGATGTTCATTCGGAAACTTAAAGATATCTGCGAGGATGCGCAACATTCGCTACCAGACGTTTTTGTCTGGATGCTGGTCCAAGGTCGTCGAGTGGCCTACCATAGGATCCCGGCCCGGTTGATTATTTACTCAGTCCACGACGAGCAACGCGGAAGCCTCTGCGAACGGAGACAGACCTTCCTACTCAAGGTAAAGTAATTTGCGAGAAACGTTAATCGTCCGGTCGTCGCGAGTGCTGGACGGCGGAAGAGATATCCGGGAGTCGAATCGGACTTCGCCCGGAACTCTTAATGTATACGGGTACCGTCGTCGAGTCCAGCCCATGTCTATCCTCAGTAGTTCGTCTGCGAAACTAATTACTCACTTGCCTAAACTCAACGTCTGATGTGAGGATCTGTTGTTGACAAAGCTCTCGAGAAAAAAATCAGATATTCGCTCTCGGCGCTTGCTGTGGCCGAACAAGAAACTCTCCGTGAGCCTCTCTGACGCAGCCCTCTGGATTCAGTGGGGAAACTTTTTGCTAAGAATAGACTCCGTCCGAGGAAAACACAGCCGCCTCGAGACCTTGGAGGGTCTCGCTAATTCACCTCGGAGTTCACATCGCTTATGACAAAGTCGTCCTCGGGTTCCTCTCCGTAATCCTCTCGCGGGGATTAGTACGTCGCTCCGTTGCCCTTTATAGCTTAACCTGAAATGCGAATGGCAAGAAACCGCCAACTGACCGAAAGGGTTCTCGGTGTGGGTTTTAGAGGAGAAAGAAATCCCATTCCGCAAATCTTTCGGTCGTGTCTGGTGGATTATACTTGGCCAAGGTACTCGCTGAAGCTCACGGCCTCGGTGGGAGATTTCCCCACGCTCACCGGTCAGCTCCTCGTCGTAAGAACACCATGTCGGAAATTCCATGCGGGGGATTACGAGATTGCGGAGAGCAGAGGAAACTTTCCGAGCGAAAGAGTTCCATTCCGACTAAATGTCCCACGGGTTAAAAAGATGAAAGATGAATGTTGTGTGCGCATCCCCAACCCTCGGGAAAGCAACCCGGATCCGCGGTAGACAGGGGACCCTGAGAAGAGATCCGCGGAATTTCTCGGAAGACCGATTGAGGACGCAACCAAACGTAACATTACGAACTTGGACTCTTGTTCATTCTCGGAGTGGCGCTTCTCTGTCTTCCGACTGAAGCTCCCCTGTAAAGGGGAACTAGACAGCGAGAATAACAAAAAGAGAATGGGACTCACAAGGAGCACACAACCGTTTCAGCCTGGCGGCGGTAACAAAAAACAGACGCCGAGCTCCGCGTGGAACGTCGAGGCTAACATCGAGTTGTACATCTGGCTAGGCCTTTGGTCAGAGAGGGACCAGTCGCTCCGCGGAGTGCCTGAGGTAAGCGAGCGTGGCATGTGACTCGGTCGTACTATGCACACACGACGCATGGGCGAGCTCTTGCCGCAAACCAGAGGAGAAGAAAGACCTTAGCAAAAACACGACTACGATCCGTAAGAGTGGAATCGAGTCAGCATCTGTCCATCATGTAGCTCACTCGTCAATATTGATCAAGATTCTCGCCGAATAGTGTCGTGAGACGATCCCTTGACTCGATTACTCGTCCGGGGAGGACCCTGATCGGAAACACGGCCAACTGAGGCACTTTATTTGACGTGATATGATTTACGATCGCTGTCGTCCTGTTACAATAAAGGCGGGTTTCGCGCAATGCGATTAGGGGATTCATGGACGTCGCTGGCCAGATTCTCTCGCGGGGGTCTCGCTCATGCTATCCCGAGAAGAAACAAACGGCCTTCGGATGCATACCATTGGTCGCAGCTCGCGATTCGTCGCTGACTTATTCGTCATAGAGCTAAATCAAGGATTCCTTCTTGGAAACGTCTTTTCCACTGGTTATGCACGAGGTCGGGATTTTTATATTCCATGTCCCAATTATTAAGCCCCAATCTATTCCAGGGTTATTCGAATACGGGCGTCCCTTTCGAGAAGCTGCAATACACGGAACGTTCGAAGTTCATCTTGAGAGCTCATATGTATCAAGCGAGATCACTCATTGCGTCCGACTCGTCGGGTCTTTCCGATCCTTTCGCTCAGGTTCGTGATGAATGTTTTCGTCTGACTCCCAGCCTGCGGCACTCGTTCCCAGGCGACAACCGATAAGGCCTTTGTGTAGTGAACTTCATTCGATCGAACTCAACGGGAAGGTCGCCGGCTAAGTGCTCGAAAAGCGTTGCGGCCTTGGAAACAATGTCCGCGATTCGTTGGAATTCGAAATGAGTCCGCGAGCCGGTCGTAGCAACTCAGGAGCGGAACAGAAAACTTCTTCGTCCTTCTCTGGAACCTGGAAAGCAGCGAGCGATGATCCTCGCTTCATTGATTCCGAGGAGGGCCTCGTCGGAACAACGAATACTCGCGCTAGATTCTCTGATCATTATCGTGACTTTTGTGAACTGTCGGAATTCCGAAGTCCGATTATTGTGGGGGCCCTACAGACGTCTGGAATATGCGGCCTGGTTTCCCTCCGAGTCGCTGCCTGAATAACTCTTATTCCGCTTTCCGGAAGAAGAACTTTCTGACCCATGTAATCAGTCGCAGGAAGCTCTTTCGCTCGTTCTAACGCGGGGAAGATTCTCCGCCCCTCTCTGGTAGGCAGAAGTTCCTCTGTTCGTTAATACCACGAGGGGTTTACCGGCCGTCCAATTCGAAAACTCGAGGAGGAGGAATTGCAGGCAAATCTATGTGTAGAAGCTTGCCAGATAAGACGGCGCGTAATAGTCGGTCATTATCTTTCTCGGACAGTTGCATTTCTGCGGACATAGCTCGTGCACCCAGGTCATCGAACAAACGCTGAGCCCAACGTGGGACGAGATGGTGCTTCTTCAGAAAATCGAGCTTTGTGGGGATTTGACCCAGCTTTCCGAAGACCCACCGTTGGTGGTCGTGAACGTGTTCGATCAAGACAACGTGGTGAGTGATCTGCCACCTCTGGTGTCTCGCAGAGACCCTATGCTCCGATGGGAACAGCTTTCCCCTGCTCGAGGTCTTCAAGAAGTAGGTTCGGGTGATCAGCCGGAACGATAAAGCATCCTTCGTAAACTTAAAGGGGAAATGCGACTTCCTTGGACGCGCTATGGTGAAGCCCCATGTGAAGCTGGGGTTCACGGAGACTGAGTACAAGATCCCCCAACTCGAGTGGCACGACCTTTATCGATCGCCGAACGAAAACGCGGGTCAACTCCTAGCGGTTTTCGAGCTCATCGAGTGCAACTCGATCACAGGTGAGAATATCGAGGTTCTTGACCTTGGAGCTGCAGGTCCAGGGGGGGGGAAGGAAGTGTCACGGTCATCTATCTCGAATGGCTCTTATCACTTTTCCTCGCAATTCGCAAGTCATCCTTCTTCGGAAGGCAGAACGGTCGCACCTCCATGCTTCGCGTTCAGAACTTGAGAATAAGAGGAGATGAGGCCTACCTAGCCCTAGTCCGAAAGTGCTCCAAAGAAAACATACAGATGTCCCGAATAAACTTGTTTTCTGTGGGGACATTTATTTTCGAAAAAAATCCGTCGTGACGGTACTGTCCCCACCCGCAGGCGACTCGGCGGGCCGCGTGGAATCGGTTGAGCCGATCTGGCGAAACGAGCGAGGCCCCGTGCTGCCGATTCCGAAAAGTATTCGCCCGACCCTCTCTCGGTACAAAATCGAATTTCTATTCTGGGGCCTCCGAGACCTGCGTCGCGTCAATCTTCTCAAAGTTGACCGCCCCAGGTAAGTGGACGTCGCAGGCAACAGAGATGTCGAAACCGCCTTGCGCCATTCCTTCAGAGACATCCGGGAGAAAAATGACAAGCATCGAATAATGCTCGACGTATCATGTATTTCTCGTAGGGTGGACATCGAGTGCGGCGGCCACACCATCCAGTCTTCGATAATCAACAATTATGCAAAGAACCCCAACTTCAGCATGCCGATTAAAACCATCGACATCGATCTCCCCGATCAGGAGATGTACTGCCCGCCTGTCACCATACGAGTTGTCGACTGCCGTAGTTTCGGCCGATTTACGCTCGTCGGAACTCACGTCATAAGCTCTATCCACCGGTTTGTATGTCGTTCGCGTCCCGATAGCTTCGAGAACCCGGTGGTGAGGGATCGAGCGGGGGGGGGGGAAAGATCACCATTCAGCTCGCGATATACTCCTTTCCGCCAGGTGTCGAATATGTAGTTCCGGATAAGGCGTACGCATTCTCCCGATTCCTTTCAGCTTCATTCAGCTGACGGCGCAGGAAGCCTTTGAAAGCCAGAAGCGGGTCTTGGCTTTGAAGGCACATCAAGTTCCCACCGAAACCCTCATCGACGTCGAGGGTGGCACGGCAACCGCAGCGAACGGGGGCCCGAACGCCAATTCCCAAATCACTGTGATACATCTGAATCCTTCGAAGGATGCCAAGGTCAGTCAAGTTCGGACAGGGAGCTCCTATCGAATGTTTCCCATGCGTGACCCTTCCGACCGAGCAGCTGAGAAAATCGAACGGAGCTGGAAGCGACAGACCTCTCGCTTCTATGGAGCTCCCCGAACACGAACATCCTCCCTGGTGGCCCGAATCCGAGAGGGAACTTGGAGGAAAAACAAGATCCTCAAAGAATACAGAGAAGAATGTAGGAGAACGTTCGACATGCGGATCATGCGGAGATTTTTGTAGAAACTCGGGGACGTCTCCGTGTATTCCGTGCATACACTCATGCAAAGCGTAATTCCGCAGTTATCAGACGGAAACCTGGCCAGCAACGAAGGTTCTGACCCTAGTTATCAAAACGCCCTCACTGTAAGTCGAGAAGCCGCTGTACGTTGCACAGTGTAAGAGAGCTGAGTGAGCGAAGATGAACCGGCACAAAAACGCGGAATCCAAATCCCTTGCATAGGCTGGCACGCGTGCTAGATAGCCCCGTCGGAATACGGCTTCCGGCGAGCCACCGCACCTGAGCGATCCCGCCGGCGCCACTGCTTCGGAACAAAGCGGAACGCCCGATAAGATCGACGAGCTACGATGAGTTTTCCATTTTCAGAACACTGAAAAAGAACCTTGCAAGGGTAAGAAGAAACAGGCCAAGAAAAGGAAAGAGCGAGGGAGCATGACGAGGAACGACGATTTATCCGAGGATTCAAAAGATTGGTGGAGCCGATACTTCGCCTCGATTCAGTCGCAGCACAAAAGCAAAGGAAATCCAGACGACGGCTTTCACTCAGATAGGCTCCGGAGTCTGTTTGATCAGTACTCAATGATCAAGGTAATTTGATTGTTCGGCATCCGAAGACTCGAGACTCTCACAACTAGTTCCTCATTTAGTTTATTTGTCCTCCGACCGACCGTGACATTCATGGAGTTGGAAGCCCAACTCAGGAGGCTCCGTCCGTAACGAGACTCCGAGCTCATCAGGTCCACCTCTGTACATTGCTTAGTTCGGGCTCATCTCGTCAAAGTAGCTCCGGGAAATTTCCTAAAGTGTCCTTGAGGGACTCTTCCACGCAACTCTGACCGCACGAAAATTCCCCGCTGAGCTCTGGGAATGTAATTCAAACTGATTCTCGGGGAGTTATAGTCTAGGAAATACGTCGACCTATTTTCGTTCGTTTTTTTCTCTGCGCTCCAACCGTCTGAGAGAAGTCAGATAAATACTTTGAGAATTAATGGGCTATCCTCCAAGAATCCTCTCACGTGAGGGATTAATGGGTCTGGACATTTTCCCTTTCGTGTCTCGAGATAGATTGAGTGTTCGATCACTAATGACGTGGAGGCGAAGTCATCTCGGGTTTTCCCCGCAGAGGGAAAAATCATCTCGCACGATTCCCATGACGGAAGCTTCTCCGCCGTCTTAATCATTCTGTTCTACCTTACGTTCCTATCGAAGGTTTGGAATTCTCGTTCGGATGTACGTCCATGCATCTGGAGCTCCGAGAGAATTGGGCTGACGGCAAGGAGTTCCCAGAATCGAGCTGCTTCGAAATTCAAGAATAGTTCCCTCTGAGGATCGCCCCCCTTAAATCAGCCATCCAGCTTTATCCGAGCTCCGCTGAGCACTAAAATTTTCCTCTTCGGAAGCGCCTCGCGATACGGGATAATGGTCGATCTTTCCGATTGGAACGGGAGCAGGGTGTCCGATGCGGCGCGATGCTGAGCCACGTTGCGGAATACTTCCATGATTATCGACTCCTGATGACGCGCTTTTCGCGGGGCGCGTTTGGGAAGAAATTTCTCAATCGTCTCGGTTATTCCATCTCTTGGAAGTTTCCGCGGGAGTCTGCAAAGATTCATCTGAAAGGCCCCCATCGGGGATCTCGGGCTCCGGGCTGAGATAATGCGGACCCGGGTCCCTGACGGCCAAAGGTCCCTAACGAGAGTCTTCTTTCGCAGGTTTACACATCGGAATTAGAGTCCGTCCTGGAGTACAACGGCTTCAAGGAATGGCTCGAGAGTTTCCAATTACTGAGAGGGAAACGAACAGGTGACGAGAATGACGATGAGAGGAGAATCGTCGGCATTTTCAAGGGCTCTCTAAGGGTCCACAGGTGAGCTGCCTCGGAATCTCCTGATATCCCGGCGGGAACAGGAGCACGAGATTCTCGAAGCTCCGCGCGTCCGAGACACAGTATTCTGGACGGGGATGCAATCCCGATATTAGCTCGCAACCGGGTTCCGCGCGCCAGCGTCTTGTCCGCTCATCGCATTCTGCCGTCGGAGTCTCGAGTCAGTCCAGCGTGCGAAATGAGCCCACATGCGTGCACGATGCGAGCTAGCGACTCGTCAGATAGAACAAGCAAGCTGGCTTGTCGACCAATGAATACCAGATTCATGGGAAGCAGTACTACGTCAATTATTCACTCGTTGTCTGACCCATGTTCTGGAAACATCGTTGGTGAGCGGACGAACGACAAGCTTGCTTTACAAACGAGCTATATTCATTTCCAGATATCCGCTCTCCGGCGATTGGGAGCCCCTCTCGAGATCGGTGCCCAGTAATGACCCGATAAAAGTGCTCGTCCGAGTTTACATCGTTCGAGCGACCGATCTCCATCCCGCCGATCTGAACGGCAAAGCAGATCCGTATCTTGTGATCAGACTCGGCCAGAACAAACTTAGCGACAAAGACAACTACGTGTCCAAACAACTCAATCCAGTCTTCGGGAAATGCTTCCAGTTCGAAGCAATATTCCCACACGACTCGCTGCTCCACATTCAGGTGAGATGATCGACATCGACTTGCCACTGAGTAGTTTCTGAGTAGTACCTAATGAGATTTGTGCGCATCTCGATCAGATTCGATCAATCACTCGATGCGTGCAACAGGGCTGCCGTCCCGGGACATCTGTTTGTTCCCGGAACGAGAGGAACGGGCCTGTTCGTTCCCAGCTGCTGGAAGAGTTCGATTTCGCTGTTGAAAAACAAACAACCCGCTTGGCTTGGGTGATTGCGAGGGGATTGTACGAGAAGACTCATCCGATTAGAACAGCAAACAAACATGATAATTCGATTGTTGGGTAATCGACCCAGGAGACTTGGGAGCGACGACGACCACGGTACGCGGCTCTGTACATTTCGGCCCGGAACATGAGGGCTAATTATTGGATGCTCATAGAAGCACCTCCACAGAACCGAACACGAATTGTTCCTCCGATTGATGCGTGCCCTCGGACCAGTCCGCGAGGGAAGACAGGGCCATTCAGAGGAGTCGAGGAAGGTCCTGAGCGAGCTGCCTCTTTCCTGTGAGGGATAATTGGGAAAATCGTGGGACGAATATACGCGAGAATAATTCGTTCATCTAGACCTTTTCCCGGGCTGAGGTTCCGTCTGTCGGATGCCCGGAATTTCGGGCTTACTTAGACCCATATCGTCGAAAAATCATTCGGAGCGAAGTTAAGGAGTTTCCGTGTGAGAATCTGAGAGGACTACCAGTGGGCGAATGCCCTCTGTGAATCTTTTCTTCGCCGGGACCGGGACGAGGTGGGAGGATGGTCGAAGGATAACCAACAACTCCTGTATCGATAGTTCTGTGCCCCGCTCCTCTCCCGCAGTATACATACAGAGCAGCCCGTCTGGATTTTTATGTACACAGCTGACAGCTCTCCCGTGTGATTGTACGAGGAGCCTTCCCGAAAACCCCGAGCAGGAAAGACATCATAGTCCTCAAGAGTTATTGAATTTTCGCCAGCTCCAAGAAAAAAAACATCGTCCGGAGTTTTCGATCATAGAGAAGGTGGTCATGAGGTGGGGACAATCTCCACTGTCGGGGATAACTCTATCTCCCCCATGTTTACTTGACTGAACGGGAGACTCCGGCTCGGATGACAGGTGATACGGCAAAAACAAGGTCAGAACGAGGTCTCGAGGTTCTTCGATAGAAATTCCGTTGTATTCGACGTTTCCAGCTCTCGTGAAATATTCTACCTGTCGTGGGCTGTTCATGAGGAAGGAATGTTGACAGCGACGCGCACAGTCAGCCCCAGAGCTCGCTTCGGGAAGAAGATGAAAATCTTATTTTGCAAGAGATCGATTCCATCGAATTGTCGAGTGTCGACAAGCTTGTAAAAGCTATTCCCCTCCTCGTATAGAAGCACATCGACGCTGTCATCCGGAACCACTCTCATATCGATCGGTTCGGTTCTACAAACGTCTGTCTCGCGAGCACTTACTAATTCCTCCCACCGTTGATCGTTGTGGAGGAAAACTATTCGGAATTTCTCGGGGAGATCCACACCAGCGAGGGACTCGAAAGCCAAGCTTACAGTTGGAGCCAGATAACCTCGTAGAGCACTCAGAACCTCTTCGGTGGTATCGTGTTCGAGGAGCGTCTTGAAGCGAGTCTCAAGATCCGCTGTACAGATCGGATGGAGTCCGTTGATTTTCGCGCAGCGGATCATTCTTTTCAGGAACAGCAATGTCTTGAAGGGCGGGAATGGATCACTGAAACATAAACATCATTCCTGCTAGGAATTCTCCCCGGCGTTCACTCGAGGTTTGAACCTACGTTGGCCGCAAAGAGTGCGTTCAAGGGCGCGTCGACTTGAATTTACCTCTTGTCCCGCCCCATCGTCCGTCGCACGAGTAGATAGATTTTTCTCGGGAGATCTTCGTTATTTCCAACGGACTTCTCGAGAACACGATCGGGGAGGAGCGTTACGTTGACGCAATCGATTGTGTGGGAGTCCATGTCTTCTCTTTGCGGTGGAACGTGACATGAATTCGCGTCCTCTAGACACTCCGCGTGTGTTCTTTCATCTCGTCCTCGTCTACCTGAGGGAGACCTTCTTGAAGTTTCCATGAAGGTCGGGAACCTGTGTATTGACAATGAGGGCCGACAAGAGCCCGATATCGTAGCCCGATGATTCTGCAGAGCAGCAGCCAGACAAACTCGTTATCGGCAACGTTGCGATGGCTCGGAAAATCATTTCCGACTGAGCTCGGAGCTCAGCTCCCACCCGGAATTACCAGGCAGCGATACTCGGGCTTCACTCGATCGGCGGCGCATCGAGGCTGGTTTTGAAAGTGATCTCGATCCCGGGGAGATGAAAGTTTAGAGTGCACACATCGGACATCAGTTGTCGAGGATAAATTTCGCAGGAAGCGATCTTCTGCGGAGGATAAGGCCACGTCACGTCGTCGAAGGCTTCGAAAAGCAGGACGTAAAAGTTGGTGAGCGTTAGCTTGAGGGTCAAGCGGTGGTCGGTGACTCGGAAAGTCGGGGACATTGTAATTAGGAGCTCAGCTTCGTGGTCGCGGCCGATGAATAAAACTCGATAGGAATCACCGATAAGGAAGCCGTCGATTGATTCCAGTCGGAGCGACACCCTGGGTGCGAGATACTTCTCCACGGAGAGTATGAGGTCATCGTAGAGCACCGGAAAGTCGGTGCCTTCGAGCTGATGGAAGCGGACTGTTTGCAGACGCCAGTCGAGCTCGCTTCGGTATTTTCCCCAGTCGGCTCGGGTTCTCGCCTTCTCGGAGAGTGCCGTCAGCAATCGAAACGCTGCGGCGGCTCTGGAATCGAGAAGGCCCCTCGTCCGTTCTGGAGGACCGGGCTCCTTCGAGCCCCCCGTCGCGGAGCCCTCATTCGAAGCCGAAGAAAATCGTGGCTCCGTCTGCTCTTGCGAATCTTCGTGAGAACTGGCTGAGGATAACACCTCTTGCGCGAACCTCTCGCGGAAGATGGGGAATTTTGATGGCATGCGAATGATTTCGTTTTAGATGGGTTCGTTGTTTGAGGACTCCGATTCCACCTCGCTCGACGTGACATTGAATGCTTTCCCTCATTCCATCGATGACCGCTGAACAATGAAGCAGCGACATGAGCTGGGTTGATCCGAAGTCAGAGTCCACCAGAATATCTCACTCAGTGAACGTTCTCGATGAGCATTTTATGCCAGGCATCGTTCCAATCATTCGGTGTAATCGAAGGACCAGTCTTCCGAATCCCGAATCGCCGTGACTATTGCGGCAAGCTCGTTCCCCAACCATGCAGATGGACGAGGAAAATTCTAGTAGGTGGTTCGTGGCACTCATAAGACCTTCACCAGAGAGACGGTTCGACGTTGTTAATAATTAGCATCATGATTTTCCCTCGGTTAGTTACCCTGACACAATTCGAGGCTTAGTAAGTACGGGAGATGGCATCCAACGGGAGGCTCATCGCTTGATATTCATGAGCCTTCCGGGAACAAGAAGAAATGCGCGACGATGGCCGATCCCATGCACTCCTGACCTCGAGCTCTGAAATATTCGCCTCGTGGAAAAATACTGTCTCAGCGATGAATAAAGGGGACTTGCCGTGTAGGGGGTTCAATGAAGGGCTCTCTAGGCTCGTCAGCTGCTATTCAGCGTCTCTCAAAACAGAGCGAGACACTTTGAAATCGCTTCCTGCGACTCGGCCGATGGCGGGATGATTCGCTGGGAGCTGGGTAGGTGACAGCTACATTGGGCCCGTGGAAATTCCCTTCCCGGTAGGCGGAACATAGACCCGGGCTCCCAAGAACATCAAAAATACCGAAACTGGTGGTCCCCCGTGCGGAATGTTATACCGCCACTATACCGTTGCGTGTCGAAATCGACTCGAGTTAGGCTGCGTGGTTTCGATGGGTGAAACCTAGGGTATCGTGGTGATAATTGAAGTGAAGTGTCGCTAAGTCCCACTCCGTCTACGGATCCTCCCATCGCCATAGGAGTTGAAAGAGTGTCAGGGACAGCGTTCTTCCAGCAACTGCGTCGGAGAACAGTCCTCAGGGATTCGGAGTATCGCAATTTTCTCTTCTTGAAATACGGGGAACTCCCGCCTATCGATATGCCTCGCGACGCAGATCAGATGAACGGTACACGCGCTACGACCGCGCGTCCTAGTCAATGCTGCCGGAGCCCATCGCCTCAAATGCGCGAGAATAGAGAAATGAGAGCGATCATCACCCTAGACTTTTTGTTTCAGGTTTTCGATTGGGACTTATTGGGACGTGATGATCTCATTGGTGAAACCAAAATTGATCTCGAGAACCGTTTCTATTCGAAGCATAGAGCGACGTGTGGGCTTCCTCTGAAGTATGACACTGAATGTGAGCATCCGGCGATTCGATTTTCCGATATGGTATCGTTTTGTAGGTACTCCGGAGCACTTAAGTGTGGCAAAGCGCCTGCGGCGACTTTCAAATTCACTGTTCGCTGGACATCCCGAGTTGCCTCATGAGCATGGTGAATATTTGCTCGTGTAAGTGAGCAATTAGGGAGCTATGACCGTGTGATGACTGAGGTTCTCGCTCCTCACAGCCGGCCAAAATCAATGGAGGGACCCGCTGAAACCATCCCAGATTCTTCAGAAAATCTGCAAGGAACAGAAAGTTGATGGGCCCCATTGTCTTCCACCCGGTAACAGGGTTCGCGTCGGTCCGCGAACGTTCGTTTTTAAGACCGACGATCAAGAATTTGATGGGATACATCACAGCAAAACTTCCAAGGTGCGTATTTTCCCGGAAAACTGTAATCAATTCGGTTCCTAACTTCTGCCACACTGAGCTGTATCCCGGGAGGGTTTCGACAGAAGGCCCAGAAGCGATTCCCCAGGAGCCCCAGCACGAAATTAGCGTCTCAATGATGAGCGATCCCACTTTGGCTATCCTCTTGCGTCAAAACTCATCAGCCCTCGTATTCATGAGGATTGTGTACGTGTCCTATCGTAGGTTCCTTGCGAGGCGAGAGCCGCCTCCAGAAGAAGAGTTCTCAGAAAAAAATGAGTCTCTCTCTGAGCCGCTCCCTTCAACCCTAGAAACACTTCTTCAAGTGCCCTGATGGCGGATCATTCCCACCGTCGAACTCAGCCCTCTCCTGCACGGCTTTCGTCCCTCCGAGAAATGAACGGAAAATGTGGAATGGGGGCTTCCATTTTCCAGCATTTCGCACGAACAGCGCAAGTTGTTCGAGATCTGTAGCAAGTCTCGCTCGGGAGCCCCGAGAGCTCTGTCGAATTTCCGGTACAAGTAAAGTGGTAGTGGATGAAGCTTACCTTACATACATACCCATCGGGGAGGATGTAACAGCGGAAAGCTCTTTGGAGCTCATTCAAAAAGGAGAGCTCGGATAGAGACGGAAAGTTCGAATAAAAAATCGATAAGAGCGAAACAAATCGAGTCTTTTACATGCTTACAGAAACAACGACAGGAAAACTATGAGCACATGTCTCTTGCCATTCTCCATCGATGGTCTGAAGTTCTCGAAGGAAACGCTCTAGTGACTGAGCACGTGGAAACGCGACCACTTTTCCATCCCGAGAAAGCGGCTGGAATCGAACAGGGAAAACTTGATATGTGGGTTGATATGTTCCCGATGGATACCGGACAGCCGCTTCCCGGGCCGCCCGTCGACATTTCTCCGAGGAAACCGAAAAGGTCAGTTCCCGTAAGAGACGGCGCACACCTGAGACCTCTGTATTGCGACCGAAGGAGGGAAGAGGTGAAATTGAACTTTCCAAAGACCTACTCAGCATATTGACTGAGAGCGTCGGGCACTCTGACATATCCTGTCGGCTAGCAGATGGGATCGGACCCCATCTGAAAGTCATGTGGAATTCCAAGCAATTTCCACGCTGACGAGTTTTGTTCGGAAGTATTTCATCTACTCCCCTATCATTAGCTCGGAGGAACCTCCCTTGTCTTGCAGCTTCGAGTTGCGGGTCATCATATGGAACACGGACGAAGTCGTCTTAGAGGACGACGCCTTTTTCACGGGCGAGAAAATGTCTGATATCTACGTGAAAGCGTGAGTATTCCAGCCGAGAACTCCAGGCAGTACTCTGCCGTATGCCCTATATCGGAAGCCCAACCCACCAGAAGTGGCAGTGAGTAGATGAGAGCCATCGAAATCGTCCGGAGTATTGGCGACAAGTATGTAATCCGTCTCGTTCCGCCTTCCACAGATGGCTCAAAGGGCCGGAAGATACTCAGAGCACAGATATCCACTATCGCTCGCTCACTGGCGAAGGGAACTTCAACTGGCGTTTTGTGTTCCCTTTCGAGTATTTGCCTGCGGAGGAGAAGATTGTCATATCCAGAAAGGAATCGCTTTTTTCTTGGGACGAAACAGAGTCTAAAATTCCTGCGAGACTGCAGCTACAAGTTTGGGATGCGGATCATTTCTCTGCCGATGATTTTCTTGGTGCTCTCACCCTCGATTTAAACAGGTGGGGCGTCGATTTCTAGATATCTTAATAATACATTTCACATCTTGTTCCGCTTTCCGCTTGGTCCCGGAATCCGCATAGAGGGAGCATTTGATGGTCGGAAGTGACCTCGGGGTCGTCTTCGCGGGCATTTTTTCCCTTTGGAATGTTGATGAATCGAGTCCTCATCCTGATTCGTCGGTCGTCGACAAGAAGACGATCGTTTTCGGGGCAGCATATGATGACTGCGAGGAAATCTGCGGACGAAGAGAACTCCCGGAGGAGGGAATGATTTGGTTTCGAAGGTGGGGGACAATTATCGGGGCACGCTGGTGAGCTCGCTGGGGATAATAAGCTGGACAATCACTCTAGGAAGAGCCAGAACGGAACTAATTGACGGCTCAAGGTCGAGGTTTGCCTGCAAGGGGGATTAAGATCTCCGGTGGATAGTCGATTTATCATCGTCTTCCGTTCCTGCTAGGTTTCCTCGTGGTGCTAAGACGGCCGCACAATGCAGCCTGGATATATTGAGGCCTGACGCGCCCCATGTGAGCATTTTTAAGCAGCGCCGCATAAAAGGCTGGTGGCCTTTCTTCGTCAAACGTTCGGATGATCAGCAGATGGAACTCACAGGGAAAGTCGAAGCTGAACTCCACTTACTGACTGGTGAGTCTGGCTCTCGGAGACTGACTGAGAGGCCGGGGAGGAGGGTTTCGTATGGCAACTAGTTCGCGCCGAGGTCATCGCTCACTAGCTTAGCTCCATTATTCGGGTCCGGAGATCGTTCGGGATGATGAATTATATCTCGTTTGTCTGCTCAATCTCATAGAAGCTCGTTCACAGAAATATTACATGGGGAGAGGGGGAAAGGCGAGAGATTTATAGAATGACCGAGAAGCTTGGCTGCTGGCAAGCTTACTATGGACGTCAGAGGAGCAGGATATCAAAGATTGGGAGAGCTTGTTTCGAAGCTGTTCCATCCCTGGGCTAATCGATCGCTTACAATGAATATTCAATAATTCTGTCGACCCCTCCCGCAGGCGAAGAATCTGAGCGGAATCCAGCTGGCCTCGGCCGCTCGGAACCGGACCCACTCGAAAAACCCAATCGGCCGGATGCATCGTTTGTATGGTTTCTGAACCCTCTGAAATCCGTGAAGTACATCGTTTGGCATCGATACAAATGGTTCATTCTTAAAGCCATCCTCATATTCCTTCTCGGGCTGATGTTGGCCTTGTTCGTGTACTCTATACCCGGATATACTGTCAAGAAAATGCTGGGTGCTTGAATTTATGGAAATATAATCTCGCAAATCATTTGTCGGGCCCCAGTGAGACTCACTAAGGTGAACTGATCAATGATCATCTAGTTCTACGTCCCGTGAGGAATCCCCTACAAATATTTTTATCACGTATACATTGGTTTGGAGAACATTTATTCAAGTTGATGTATCTCCGTGAACGATTATTATCCACGTTTGAGTATGATCATAACGACGGATATCGACGCCTTCGAAGGTCGAAGACAATTAGTGGAATACTTTGGGACTGGGCGATGCCCTAATCTAGACAAACTGAGCTGTGACGAAGCCCCGCCAAGAATGAGTTTTATAATTTGTTGACCTTGTTGATTGAGTAGATCAGTTTGGAATGTTCTAGGTAACTCATCTTCTCAAGAGTACTTTGCCAGAGTATTTTGAATCTGCTATCCCCGAAAAAACTAAGTACATCTTTCTGAAATGAAAGTGAATCTCGCAGCCAGGACTGTCCCTCCCGGGGGCATCCAACAATCAGTTTTCCCGGTGATAAGATTCTAGAAGCTTTCCACCTCGCCGCTTGACGCTTTTGAAATGCATAAGATCTTGTTCTTTCTCGAAGTATGTAGATTCAGGTGAATTGTTGCTGACAACGAACGAAATACGAACTACGTACGCAGTGAAAAATGAAAAGCGAATCTCGCTTTGACGAAACTCTACATCGACGACGAATATTTCAGAACTAGCGAAAAATAACTTTGTTGTCAAATAAAATGTTACTTTTTCCTGGCCGAGCAGAATCCTTTGGGTCGGAGTTCGTGTTCGGTTTCTCGACCAGCGGAACGCCGCGCCGCAGACACGCTGCCTGTGGAGAAGTCGCGCATCCACTTCAGAACAGGTAGCCGATTCTCGACGGTACTTAGATTTTGAGTAATGCTCCGGAGCAGGGCTCATAACGCCGGGCCAAGTTACCGGGTCGGGGAATCCTCTTCTCATACCGGTGTTGGAAGGCGGGGATGGATCGGAATCACAGTCAATCGGCAACACCGTGCCTTGAAGCAGCACCAGAAAGGGGAGAGAAGAATCACTGGGGCCTGCTTTCAATCTGCTAATTCTGATGAGGGATCTGCCATGGCATACAAGGGTCGTTATCAGTTGTTAGTGTATTTCCGACACGAACATTCCCAGTCGTGCAGGAAAACATTTTTTCCGCCTTTCTGGGTAATCTTTTTTGAAGCGCAAGATGTTCGGAGAGTCGCTAGGGAAAGGCTTGGTTACAGACCGGAATGGGTGAGAAAAGAACACGAGATGAGTGGGAATTTTCAGCAATTCGTGCTTGCCGACGCGCATTCTCGCCACGCGCTGCTGCTACTCGGCTCGACGAATCCGTGTCCCTCGAGATGAACTTCATCCCGTCCTAACGCAGAAACGAACAAAAAGAGCCTCCCAGCCACTCGCTTGCTCCTCTCGGCTCTCGGCCACAACAATGACAACAACGATACCGGCAGCGCCCAAGCGTGCTTCGAGCGTGCCGTGCTCGCGACGTAAACCTCGGGGATCTCGCGAGCTCTTACAAACCTTGCCGACAACAAACGATGAACAAATTCATGAAGCGGAGCACTGCAGTAAAGTTTTTATAGCCAGTAGCAAGACGCTAGAGGGTATCGTGTACTTCTCGCTTACGGAAGCTCACGGGAGCTGTCCGAAGTACAGTTTCCGCACTCTTTGTGCTACTCACCTCTAAAGGGTCTTATCCATGTAGTACTGCTCCCCGCATCTCTACTAAACGTGCTCTCTAGCCTTATGGAAGCTCTTCCACGCGTCTTTCGCGTCTAAGAACCAAAAAATAATCTAATAAAAAAAAGCTCAGGTCGCTAAATTGGTCACTCGGCTGATCGTTCAATGGGCTCATCGGCTCATCTGGCCCTCCTCACAAAAATCACGATTCCGTCATTTTCAACACCGACCCCTTCATCGGCTAGCAATGCTGTCTGGAAGGCAACATCACGAGAGTCGCTCGGCGATACGGGTATCCTGAGTCCTGAACAAGTCTGACCGATGTTTCGTTTTCAGGAGGAACTCTGGTTCCAATTAGTCAATGCCCCCATCGTATACCTGCCGTAGCGGAACAACCGCGCCTCGGAAATTGTCATCCAGAATCGAGCCAAATATAAAGGTCCGATTGCGGAAGCCTTTCTGACGAAAGGGAAGTTTTGGGAATGATCTCTCCGGCGTCGACTTACGTCGAGCCAGATGAGTGTGGATGTCAAGAGTGTTGTTCACCTTGGACTCGAACATTGAGATCTCTTTTGAGCCAACGCTTTTCCCGAGTAAGAGACCAAAACTCCCAGCTTAAGCCGGCTTTTGCGTCAAAGTGACCAGGTGTACGTCTTCTTGATGTTCGTAGTGGGGATGAGATAATACTGTGTTGAGAACGCTCCCGACTCGAGCCCACTTCGGGGAAGAATTCGAGCTCAGAGGCGTCATTCTTCTTGGAACACAGAAAACGCAGAAAGTTCCTCATGCAGCCAGATGCATTGAGCGGCCTGTTTCCTTCGGGACTCCGAGTCAATTCGATGATTTGCTTGCGGAGGATTCATCGCTTCCTACCGAAGGAATATCAGATCGCTCGGAGCAAGGAATATTAGGATAAACTTTGGAATTTCCCTTTGGTTTGTAGTTCGTTGAGGTCAGATACCGGTCAGAATCCTCCGCTCGCGAGAGATTTCCCGAGTGCCTCCTTCGGGATCTCGGAACCTCTCTCATTTGCGAGCTTCCTCGGAACGGACCAACATCTGGCCGGCGTTGCTAAGCCTATCCCGACATCATAGAGCTGCGACAATTCCAGCGGATTCCACGGCTGCTCGGTCAGGGGACCTCGAGCGAGAGGATTGTGAGGATTTTGAGACAGACAACAAAATATTCGAGCTATTCCGTAGTTCCCAGTCGTCGCCGCGCAGGTCCACGGCCACCCACCCGGCAAGAATTGCCTCATTTTTCAGCCAGTTTCTCCTCTATTTCGCCCCTCTCTGGGAATCGGATATTCCACCAAGAGAGACCCTGTATCGGAGTGATAGGTCTCCCAGATTCCATCTGCAGCCTCCGTCATAATCGTCCTCGGGCCGCGGATGACCTATCATGGAGTCGCACATCAGACTTCGAATGCGCGAGCGTAACTCCTATGCTGGCCCGAACCTTAAACTTCCGTCTCTGTTCTCGGTCAGAGATACGGGGTCGTCGCCGCCGGAGCTTTCTCGCAAAACCACAAGGATGCTAAGCCGTGTCTATGGATTTGCTCATGAAAGTCTGACGACCGCTTCCCTCATCGCGACAAGTTTCCATCGCAGGAACAAACACGAAGAGCTCCCCGGATGCCAGAGATCCAGTGCAGGATCCTGGAACATTCAGCAATAAATCAGTCGGATGTACGTCATGAGGGGCTTGACACGGGGGAGTATATTGAAGCTGAACTTATTGCTTTCCATGGCCATATCGCATCCTGTACAAAAATAGATCCGAGCCCATTCCACCCATGGCCTCCAAAACTCGACTTACCCAAACGTTCATGTGGGTAAAAAGGATTTCCTCTGAACAGATATCGCCACGGTTGTGGCGTCATCGTCTTCTTTATTGCTCCAGATCCGAGAATTGCAGGGATCCCTCCACGAATGCGACCAGCGCGGAACAAAGTTGCGGCTCAAGCCGAAAAACATGTGGGCACCGAAAAACGGCGCGTCATGCGGGCGTGCTTTACTCTGCGGATTTGTGGACGATCGTTAGTTCCTTGGAGAGGTAAAGTTTCGGTCGCACTCCGCCCCGTAGTCTTCCTATTCCCGGGACGGTCATTGAATGCTGTGTCGGGAAACTTCCTGTTGTCGAAAGCATAAGCTTCGCAGGAGCAGTGCGGTTAATGTGCTCGAGCAAGAATTATGGTCGACTGCCACATCGCGGGACTTTACGCGAAGGCTCCTCGTAGCCTATAAAGCGCGAGGCTCGAGGGCTAGTCCGCCTCAGAGGATGCTGATATCCAGAATTATTCGCTTCGAGGGCGTCATCTGGAGGAAGCGGTGACGCGCGCGGACTCCATCCCGCGATGTCACCACCTCGTGACCTGCTCACGACTCCAGCCAGAAATCTTTGAACCGGTCTCCAGAGCATTGTGAACTACGCATCTGCTCGGGAAGTCATATCTGCTCTCGATTGGTTTCGCGAAACATCCGCCGCTCGCCGCAAAAAGGGTGACGGCGGTCCAGGCACACGATGAAACATTCTCGTCGAGTGTAGAATTGACAACATGGGGAAATATACATGGCTTTCCGTCCGGGGCAATCCCGCAACTTCAGCTGTGCCGCTCGCGGAATGTTCCCGCGACGGCACGCCGCAGTTTTGTCGATCGCGGTTTTGGTCGGTCTGTCCTCGATTTCTCTCAAGCGTATATCGTTTGAGGCAGAATACATCTTCTGTAGGATAGAGAGGAGCCAGGAATCCGAGTGCAGAACATGTTTGAATTTGCCCAGATCTTCCTTTACTGAGCTTGTTGAGGTTTCCTTGCGAACTCATGGGCCTCTCCGCCTCTCCGACCGTCGGCGCGTGGGTCTCGCACGCCGGGAATCTGAACTTTCCAGGCAATCACTCATCAGGAATCTTATAAGTGGCGCTGATTTTCGAATGGCCGGTGGGAAGATGTCGGCATTGAGCTCTCATTGAGGCAATGTATCAGATATGATTAACTGAATCCAATACACCCCCTTTGTTATTGATTTCCTAGCGTCTGACCTTATGGTTTTGGACTTGGCCGATTCCGAGTCCTGCATTTCGTAGAGAAATGACGAAACGTGACCTTTGGGAGGGGAAACAGTATTTCAAAACGCACCCGAATCCGCGAGCTCTGATCGGTAAATTATTCTCCCGCATCATATTCGACCCGACGAGTCTAGGGAATCTTCCTCCTCGTTTGATGATAGAGGAGCGGAATCGTCTCTGGAAGAATTGAGAATCTGACACGAGGTTCCGATTTTGAATACGGCGGAATT